TTCATAGATCATCAGATCATCACCGCTGATTCGTTTATGTGACAAAAGAAAAGATACTGCGGCTGCTGCGGCTATTTGTAGATCATCACCCGAACTTCAGGGGGTGCTCCTGGCTGATTCGAGTTTTGTTAGCAAAATTTCTTCAGAATCATCTACAAATTTTAATACAAACTCATCACATTTTTCTCAGATGAAACCTGGGGCTGAAACTTGCATATTGTTTTCCGGTTCCTATCATGCATTTAAGTTTAAATAGATGGTAGTAGTATAAGAAAAAATCATGATAAATTATATTTATATCATAAAAGATTTCAGCGTATGATCTGGCATTTCTTTAACATATTTGGAATTCGCATCGACTATTCGATTAGCAAATGGATCATCTCACGAAAGGTCAGAAATTTTAACTTCTTCTAAATTTGATAGTAGATAAGGTGCATGCGAGCTTTTACTATTCTAATAAGATATAAAATATACTTTAGATTTTATACCACTGTATGAAATGAAAATATCCAACTTACAAAAATGTCTGTTTTTAATTTCCGTAAATTGTATTGAATCTCATCGTCACTGAGGGATTTATCTAATATTTTATAATAAAAATTAGTATATGATAAAAGTTTAACCTGTCCAGGGCAAAAAAATACATACCAATGATTTAATATTGTGAAGAGTTTGAACGGCTTCGAAGGCAATGCTAAACTAGATGCATTCAAGTTTTTTATGTTAGATCATAGAGAATATGCTAATCATATCTTCACGTTCGAACGTTAATCAGAGTAATATTAGTGAAATTGCTATCTTGGTACGGCCAATATGAAGGCAGTAATTTCAATAACCATTGCAAAGACAAGAAAGAGCACCTCCATGCGTCTATGGATATAAAATCCAGTTCTTGCAGGCTAAATAGGTACTCTAAACTTCTCTTTGCTCTTCAAAAATGCATCTTTCATCATGTAGTCAAAATCTAAATTTTATTCTTAAAGCTTAGAAGGCTCACCTGATGAGGGATTCTCTGAAATATTCTGTAATGCGAAGAATTCCTTTCACATTTTTTTATTGCAGATTTAGTCACATCTTCTGCTATGCTTTTTAGTTGATTTTCTTCTATTTGCAGATTCTCTTTTACTGCAAGATAAACAAGAGACACTGCGGAGATATGGTTTTCTGAAGAATCAATTAAGAAATTATAAAGGCTGTCAAATAAAGTATTTTTCATTGCTGGGCGGTTGTGAAAAAATTATAACAAGATATTCGAAATTATCGTAAAGAGATAAACATCCTTAACTTCGCTATACTGCCCTTTTATGTTTTTCTTTCATCTCTTCTCTGAAACTCAAAAGGTTAGAAAGGTTAGACAGAAACAAAAACATGTGCTTTTACATCAAAAAATTTCTATGATAGAAGTTGAGATGTATTTCTATGCAGAGAAATTTCTGAAAAGCACGCCAAAGAATTCTATATAGATTATGTAAAATATATGCATTACGAGTTATAGAACTATGTAAGGCTAAAATCGTTAAAAATAAGCTTTAAGGAACTCGATACTCTGTCATACATGTATACATTGTGTGTATTTAGGCTAGATAAAGTTTCGGTCCGGAGTTGGCACCCCATAAAATAAAATTCAGAAACATATATAGCATGAGTTAATTGACTGATTTTGGTTAAGGTATGTACTAATTTCAGAAAAATGAATTTCTATCTCACAAATAAGTTATATATGATAAGCCTTGCAAGGTAATACAGATAAATTTTACATGCATGCTAGTGATTTAAGCCACATAGTTTTGATTGGCTGGCTAAGCTAGCCAATTAAAATTATGGCTAAATGGCTGGCTAACGGCTGGCTGATATCTTGAAACCAGTTTTATTTTTTAAATATAAAAACCAATTAATCCAGTTTCAAACTCTATACAAAATGATAGTTTTTAATTATTAAATATATACAATAATTAATATATATTTTTTAATATAATTAAGTTTAATTATTTAAAATTATTTTTATAAATTTTTAATTTTATTCAAATTTCAAAACTTTATCCTGAATCTCAAACCAAATTCCAAACTCAATCATCCTAAATTATAAACAAATTATAATAAAATCATTCTAGATCCAAACACAATAAAGATAAAATTATTTTAAATTCCAAGTATAATATTCCAAATCTAAGATCTTAAGTTTTTTAGCAAATATATGTTTGAATTTAGTTTGTTCATATTAGCAAATTTGTGGAATATATTTAAATTAAAATTTCTGGATTTAATAATTGCAGAAGCACGATAGCTAAAATTTTGGAGTTAGCTTTACAATTGCATTATTAAAATATGTGAACCTTAATTTAGATCAATTTTGCAAATTTGCTGATATGAGATCTTTGCTAAGAAAATCACACTAACATTTTCTGATCAGGCTAATTTGGACTATTTTAAACCTATATACTATTCTTATTTACATGTAAATCATTTTTTGCCCTTATTAATTCAATAGCTTATCAAATAAGCATTTGAATCAATAAAGGCAAAGATGATTTATATACAAATAAGTACCAGTATATTGATTTGAATTTG